ACTTACGAATGCCCCTACTTACGAATTTTTCGAGATACAATCAGCTCCGGCCCCAAAAATTTACCTCTACTTACGAATGCCCCTACTTACGAATTTTTCGAGATACAATCAGCTCCGGCCCCAAAAATTTACCTCTACTTACGAACTCACCTCGACTTACGAACTGGATCCGCGGCCATTTTCCGCCCATTCCACGTGGTCCACGGCCATTTTCCGCCCATTCCACGTGGTCCGCGGCCATTTTTCCTCCCGTGCCACGTGGCCCGCTGCCGTTTTTCCACCCTGCCGCATGGTCCGCAGCCATTTTCTGCCCGTTCCATGTGGTCCGCGGCCATTTTCCGCCCGTTCCACGTGGTCCGCGGCCATTTTCCACCCATTCCATGTGGTCCGCGGCCATTTTCCCGCCCCTGACGAGTGGTCTGCAGACGCCGGAACGGATTAACGGTAATTACATTGAAAGTTATGGGAAAATTTACTTCGACTTGCAACCAACTCGACTTGCGATCAGAGTCACGGAACGGATTAAGTTAGTAAGTAGAGGTACCACTGTATTGTAAGCTGTCCAGAGTCTTTTTGGACCTGGGCAGTCTCAAAACCTAATAAAATAGATACATTTAATAAATTAAATAATTAACAGTCAGAAGAATTAACAAAAGTTAAAAGACCTTTTTTCAAGGTAGAAGAAGGGCTCAACAGTAAGGTCCTCTTTCCCTTAATACACTTCACCCACACTGGAAATTACTTTCAATCTATATTCCCCTTTATCTTGTGCTTGTCATTTGAAATATTTGCTGAGTAGCCCAAGTAGTTGCAAACTAGAATTTAGTTATTTGGCCTGAATCCATCTTAATTTAAATCGATCTGTGACCAAGAAGGAACTCATGTCTTTTCAACCAAGTAAGATTGTCCAAGGAGAATCTAGCATTTGGCATGGAATTTATAGGGCTCAGGAACTCTGAGAAGGCTTCCTCTTTTCAAAACTATCTCATGTCTTTCACCTGATTTTGTGTGGTGGGAAGAAGAGAGAGAACTACCCAGATCTTACAGAAAGGGAAAAATGTGGCCTGTTTATTCTGTAATCTTTGTCATCAACAATCTCATCATTCTTCTGAGCAGCTTTCCCAGTGCCTCTTTCACCTGATCATTCCTCAGACAGTAAATCATGGGGTTGAGGAAAGGTGTAACAGCAGCATAGAAGACAGTTATTAACTTGTTAATTTTGGAGTGGTTTTCTCTCCCTGGAATTACATACATAGCTCCTACAGTGCCATAGAAAAGTATCACCACCAAGAGATGCATAGAGATGGTAGAAAAACTTTTTTTGCAACTGCCTTGTTTGGAGGATTTCATCAAAGTGACAACCACAGTGCTATATGAGTAAACAACAAAGGAGACATTGCCTAAGAAAAAAGTATGCATGGCAATTTGGCAAATCAGGGGAACATTTCCAAGGGGAGGACAAGCCAAGGACAGAATTGGCATAGGATCACATAGAAAATGATCAATAATATTAGGTCCACAGAAAGATAATTTGGAGATCATAATCACTGGCAGTATATATCCCAGGAAACCAAGACTCCAACAACTGGCCACTAGAGCATAACAATAATTTGGAGACATGATATTTGAGTAGTATAGTGGGTGGCAGATGGCTAAATAACGATCCAAGGCCATGGCTGAGAGAAAGAAGAATTCAGTGTTGCCAAGAGAAAATAAGATGTAGAACTGCAGGAGGCAGGTATGGAAGGAGATGATCCCATCAGGGGATGCCAGGTCAAACAGCATACAGGGTATAGTAGCACTCACATAACACATTTCCAGCCAGGAGAAATTGCTCAGCAGAATGTACATAGGAAGCTGGGACAAATGAGCATCCAGGTATACCAGTATGATAATGGTGATGTTCTCAGCCAGAGTGAGCACATAGAGAATGCAGAACAAGATAAGTAATAGGAATTGCTTTTGCTGGTCCACTCCAAATCCCAGCAAAATGAATTCTTGGATTGTAGTCTCATTGGCCAACTCCATCTGGAATCACAAAGGGGAATCACATTCTTTTAGGCATCCTAAAAATATTAAGAGACCGGCGGCTCTTTAAAAGCGAATAACAAATCATTAGGATGCAACTCTGCTTCATCAGATGCATGAAGTAATATACTGGGAGAGGCCTGGATGAGTGGGGAAAGTATACTAAAATCAGATAGGGACAGAATTTAGGAAGTGTAAACAGAGAACAGTTCCCTGAAAGACTAATGCTAAGCAGTTAAGATTGTACTAGACTATTATTCCCTCTTCAAAATATCCCTTCATTAATATAAATAGTGATGATTTTAAAAATAGCATATATTCATAAGGAACATTTTCATGAATAAGAAACTATTGAAATTTGCAATAATTAAAGAAGATTATGTTAAACAGCTAGCTATTTTATCTAGTTTCACAATACGTTGGAGAAAAGTTGCATCATCATCATCATCATCATCATCATCATCATCATCATTTTTAGCACAGATATAACAATGGAATTTGGCCTAGAGAAATGTGCTACAGTAGCAATAAATTGGGGTAAAATCATGAAAAGTAATGGAATTGAAATGCCGAATGGACAAACCATAAGGAGCCATCAGGATGAAGCCTACAAGTATCTGGGCATTTTACATCAATAGCTGGACCATACCTGTTATATGATACATTGCTGGAATTATTAACTGGACACAAGCTGAACTAGACAGTTTGGATCAAAAAACAAGAAAACTCAGGACTATTCACTATGCATTACATCTCGGTAGTGATATTGACAGATTATACCTGCCCTGCGGAAATGGAGGCAGAGGTTTACTTCAAATCAAACAAACTGTTAAAGAAGAAAAGCATGCATTGACTGATTATGTAAAAGACAGTCAAGAACAAGCACTGATCCAAGTTCAAACTTATTGAATGCACAGGAAACAAAATGTGAATACCGAAACAAAGTAATAAAAACACAAACAGAATGCTGGCAAGGAAAAGCATTACATGGTCAATTTCTACGAAAGATCGAAAGGAAAGTGGATAAAGATAAAACCTGTCAATGGCTCACCAATGGAACTTTTAAAAAACCTGAAGGCTTGCTATTGGCTGCTCAAGAGCAAGTTATTCGAACTAATGCAATCAAGGCCAGAACTGAAAAATCATCAAATGATTCAGAGTGCAGATTGAGATAAGAAACAGAAGAAATTCAGCTCATACAAACTCCACTCCCTCCTAGCATTGAAGACGTTATCTAGTCGGGTAACGAAACATCTGTAAGAAAACAACCAAGCTCAGAGAACCCCAAGGGCTCCACAAAGGCTACAATCTTTACTGATATCTATAAGGAGATATTGGGAATTTCTGTGGAATTTGTGCAGGGAAGTTGAGTAATATGAAATAATATTTAGAAACTATACTCTATTTCTTATTTCTATGTAAAATTGAATGGGCATGAGATGTTGCACAAAGATCCACGCACCAGATTGAAAGTTTTCTATTTTGTAATTCTGATAATTTCTGAATAGTTGTATAGACTTCTGCACAGGATGCAATATGTGCCCATGAAAAATAGTAAAACTATAACATCTGTATGATGGAACAAAACTGATGAAAATCTTTCACTTAATTAAATTAAAATCTGGGAAGCAGCCTAGAATTCTCCTCCCACAATCCCTTCCTCCTACTTTGGCTTAACATAATTTTCAGTGGTCTATCAAAATGACCTTTGAAAATTTCTAAATGTTATACTGGGATTGTCACCTAATCCATCCATCTATCTATAGTTCCAATCCAAAATTCTTTTTTTTATATAACTCCCATTTCTGTACCTCAGCTGAAGTCAAAATGTTCTTCCATCCAGCAGAAGGCTCATCAGAAATACTGAAATAACATTTGGGTGGATGAATGTTGCTTTCTGCATGTTACATTGCTGCTTTTCTGCAACACTGTTTTCTGCTTGATCATAGGAAAAAAATCACTGTGTGTATCTATAGACTCACTCAGCTGTTTCTGAATAAACACTCTGGAGATTTATCTTCCAGGTAGATGTGGAACTTGTTCTGAAGGATCACTTTGGAGATCTTTCTCCAAAGAAAGATAGTTTCTTGAATCAGTCTCCAGACCCTTTCAACTGTTTCTCAGGAATGATGCCATTCTACACCCAAAGAGCCTGTCCTGGGAACAATAATTGTATCAACACCATTTTTTCCCCAAGAGATCTTACAGATCAAACATCTAAGAATTTTTCCTTCCCTCTCCAAAATGGGAATTCATGTTATTGAATGTTCTCCAAATATCCACAATGAATACATGGCAGCAGGAGAGGAAAGCACTGTTTCCCCCCATAATGACTCACCAAATGGCAGTTTTGCTACCAACTTCTGCAGATATTGAAGAACAAATATCTAAACACAGAGATTTGGCAAATGAGCATAAGATAGTAGGAATAAAATGTGTATGTAAGGGAGATGGAGTTCAAAATCTTTTGGACATACATAGAAATGGGCATAGTTAACTACAGCTTCATAATTAACTTTCTAGGTGATATTTTATTTTGCAGAAATGCTTATAAATGCATTTAATATGTGTATAGATAAGAAATGCAGATTCTTCAAATCTCCAGTATACTAACAATCTGCCAGCCCTATTAGGTAGACCAGACTAAGAAATCAGTGCCATATAAATTAGGACTATTTTTATTATAACAGCTATAATAGCAGAATCTCGCAAGTTTGAATGAGCTTCCTTCCTTCCTTCCTTCCTCCCTCACTTTATCTTTGTATGAACTAAGGAGGGGCCAGCCTGAGGCCTTTTCTCAAGTTATTTTCTTGGCCCAGGCTGAAGCCCCTCTTATCTGACCATTGACTTGGTAGCAGCTCTTCCTCCTGTCCTTCAAAGCCCTATGCTCCCTACACGACCTTACCCTAAAAAGAAAGTGCTACCTTTGAAATTCCCCATCTTTTCTGAAAGTGGGTAATACCTAAGAAAGAACTTTCCAGTCAAAAGTCTAGTGTTATCTCCTTATCATGAAATATAGGTGTCCATCAAGAAAGTGAATATTTACCCATTTTAGTTAGGTTGGTGCCTTGTTTGTTTCCCACCTTCATAAATTAACATGTTGATATTAATTTACTTAATGCTATACATTACTATTTTTATCTGTCGGTAATTGTAAGTCAGCTTCATTCTTTTTTTAAAAAAAATTATAGGTGAGGATTGTACTAGCTGTTGGTCCTGTGAGGTAGTCTAGATAAGAAGCAAAACCAGGAGTACTAGCTCTATCTTTATTGTAAGGTTACATTAACAGAATCTTGCAAGGTTGAAGAAGGAAGTATTTCTCCCCTCCTTTCCTTTTACTGTCTGGAAAACTAGGGAGGGTCCCTTTTGAAATGTTTCCCATGCCATCCTCCCTTCTGTGGGCTGAGACATCTTTTACGTGCTGGTTGTCCAGTTTGCAGCTCTCCCTCCTGTCTCCCAATCAATGGTCATTCTCACATACCATTACGCTAGAAGACCTCCATGATCCTTTGATTCTGTGATTCTGTGGAATAAGTAGCGTAGTTTTCTACCTCAAAAACCAAGGGGACATGGGTTTAAATCTCCAGTTAATCATGAACCAAACCAGAGGATCCTGGACCAATCAATATCTCTCAGTTTAACTACTGTCATAGAGTAAATGTCAGTATATAATGGGTGGAAAGAACTGTTCCAAGAGGCAAGTATTCTTTGGAGGAGATGGGATAAACATTTAATCCATAATAGGTCATTTGAAAGAGAAACCTATATGGTTTGAACTTGTGTATACATGTGTGTGTTTGTTAATATATTTTATTAAAGATTTTTTTCGTAAGTTATAGACAAATATAAAAAAGAAAAGAAAGAAGAAAAGAAGAAAGAAAGATAAGAAGAAAGAAGAAAAAAGGGGAGATAACTAAAATAAATAACTTCCGAACTTCAACAGATATTAACAAACTTACCATCTCCCCTCCCTTTTAACTATTCCAGAGATCCCTTCAGCCCCTTATTTAGTCCTCATCTTTTTCACTAATTAAATCCATAAATCATCATTTCACTTTTTTCTTCTTTTAGCAAAAAGTCCATAAAAG